ACCGGGAGGGTGTGTGATTAATTTGTATATAATGAAGATATAATTTTTCAATCAGTTTAATTGAGGTCTTGAGTCAGCATGTCAGTAACTCGGCTAGTAGTCCTTTGTCAATTTATGTTGATCTTTGTCATTTTGCTTTGTTTCTTCTGTTATCTATCCTAACAGTGTACCCGGACTTCTTTTGGACTGAATTTTACAATGCGTTTTGCTGTGTATTTGTTTATTCTACATTGGCTAGAGGTATAGGGGAGGGTTGAGATCTCACAAAACATGTTAACCCCCGTCGCATTTTTGCGCCTTCCCCAAGTCGGGAACCTCTAACCTTTGTTAGTCTTGAGTGTTCTTTTTTTTTGTTATTGGTTCATAAGTATGTTTCATAGTTCAGTGTCACTGTGACGTCCAATTCAATGAACTACTTACTATACATTATTGTTTAGGGGCCAGTTGAAGCCCGCTCTCGGGTTTGAGATTTTCTCGCTGTGTTGAAGATCCATTAGTGGCCTTAGGCTGTTTACTGCTCTTTGGTCGGGTTGTTTTCTCTTTGACACATTCCTCGCTTCCATTCTCTGTTCTATAGAGTTATATTTTATCACCTTCAGGGATTATACTGTATATATTGGGTTATTGTGTTTATACTGTTGGACGGTGTGCCATAGAATCATTGATTCCATAATGTCAAAATTATTATCAGGGAAAGTTAAAAAGTTGAAACCCACAAGTACCCCCACAAACAAGATCTGATAGCTAGGAATTATAGAAATGGGTTATGATTATTTTAGGAAATATATGTAGGATAGGGATTCACTCAAAAATCAATATACGAATAGGGGGTTTAAACCCCAGCCGGACGTCCGTATCCAAAGTATTGTGGGGACTCTCCTCCCCCCTCGTAACTACTTCCCCTTATCTTTCACTAGCAATTCCTTATAAAAATAAGGAAATGTGGTATGATTGCCAATTAGATAACTATCCACCAAAGTCCAAATGAAGTGGATGTAAGCAATTAAACTTATTAAAGGCAACTGTACGACCTTCAATGAGAAAAACCCATACCGTATAGTCGGGTATGAAAGGTCCCGACATTAAAAATATGAAACAATTCAATTGTGAAAACTAACGGCCTTATTTATAACAAAACAATTCACTAGAAACAGATATAACAGACATGAACCAGCGACAACACCTTGACTACAGGCTCCTGACTTGGGACTTTAGTCTATCTCTAAAGAATCTATATTATCATGCACTAAAGATGGCATTATATAATTTAACTTTATAATATTGGATAACAATTTCAATAATGTTGTCTGTTGCATTTATCATACAATGTCAAAAATGTGTTATATCATAGTTTAAAAAGGATTTTAGAGTTAATTATTTATTGATAAACCGTGACATGAACAAAATATGAATATAAACTTTTAAATACTGGTATATATTTGAAAATCTTCCAACTGAGTTCAGTCTGTTGAAAGGCGCTTATAAATGCAGCCAAGAGCTTCACAAATCTAACATTACTTCTTGGTTCTCATTTGTTAAAAGAATATTAGAAGTTTTTGAAATTAAACAAAAAGTAAAACATTTTGGACAATATAAATTTTTGAATATATCTAACGAATCAATTCACACTAAATATATCAACAATTGGTAGGTTAGCAAAAAAAAATGCTTCTGATGGGAAATTGTTCAATTATTTGAAATTTAAACAAAATTTTGGTTATGAAAATTATCTCTCTTTGGTTAAGAACCTTGATTTTAGAGAAGCTATTTGCAAATTACGTATATCTGCTCATAGCGGCGAAATGAAAGAATTTGCAAGAAATGCTCCCCTGGCTGTGTTGAAGATGAAATCCATTTTTAACTACATGTGAAAAAATTAATTCTGCATGATGGAGATGTAGTTCTATAACATAAACCTTCGTAGGTTCGTATCGTTTGCCTTCGACGTTTTTTATCGGACATTTTTTTTCACTATCGATAGTAAAAAAAAAAATATCCGAAAAAAAAACGTTGAAAGCAAACGATACGAACCTACGAAGGCTTATGTTATAGGACTAGATAGAGATGATCTCTTTGGCTTTGTTTGCTAAAAAATTCCAAACTTTTCTTTACTTGACAATCAGCAAAAATTCATTTATTTATTAAAGTATAAAAAAGACAACCAGGTCCTTATAATGCTGTTGGAAAATTTATTAAAGTCAATATGAGTTAGATCTATTTATTTTTCATGATATGTTATAAATCATTATCTTAAGAAAAGATTAACAGCGCCGGTAAGTATTCAGTGGCGGATCTAGGATTTCCAAAAACGGGGAGAAAAAGGGGGGCCCGCTCCCTTCATGCTTCAGTTATTTCCTATTTAAGCAACTAAAAAGGGGGACCCGTGACACCACCCACCACCCACCACCCACCCTTTCCCCCTAAATCTGCCCCTGGTATTTATCAGAGAACATTGATGAGACTTTTATAGCTATTAAAACGATTTGAAATAAGTTAAATGTTAAAATCCTATTGAATTCCTAGACAAATATTGAAATAACACCTTTATATTTAGTCATGTGTTTGTTTCTGTCCGAAATGATACGTAATATCTTATCAACTCCACTGTAGAGTGTTTATATATTTACCTTAGTGTGGAAATTTATAGTATCAGATCAAAGTTGTAGCCGCACAAAGATGTTCAGGAAAAATAATTCTTCATAAGTTATCTCCCCTATGTTCTATGAAATGCATTATTTTAGCCAATGTTTGAAGATATATCACAAAAAAAGATGTTTAAATAGAATTTAAATATATAATATTAAAATATAAATTGATACTTGTTTCTGTATTTATTATAAATAGCAAAATTTTTTTGTATAATGATTTAAAATGGACCATAGAAAATGATTTATTAATGACATATATTTCAGTATAAAAAATCAGTTGAGATAACTATATACCAAATATCAATTTGTGCCTACGCCCACACCGTAATGGAAGGGGCTAAAATAAATAAACCAATCAGAGACATAAGTTAAGGAATAAATGGTGCCGACTGGAAGGAAATAGTCAGTGGCGTATACATGTGTACAGTGTGGTTGGCGCGTATCACCAGAAGAAAGGCCAAGAAAAAATAATCTGCTTTTTCACGTTATATATAAGTTATATGTGGAGAAGGATCTGCTTACCCTTCCGGAGCACCTGAGATCACCCCCAGTTTTTTGTTGGGTTCGTGTTGCTTAGTCTTTAGTTTTCTATGTTGTGTTTTGTGTACTATTGTTTGTCTGTTTGTCTGTTTGTCTGTTTGTCTGTTTGTCTTTTTCTTTTTTAACCATGGCGTTGTCAGTTTATTTTCGACATGTTCGACTTATGAGTTTGAATGTCCCTCTGGTATATTTCGCCTCTCTTTTATAAGTATAAAATTGTCCAAAAACATTTCATATATTCAATGATCGGGAATTACGCCCCCTTTCAAAATCCATAATCCACCCCTGATAATTGTCTGCTTATTTTTTTTTTACATATGTCTTGTTGTTAGACATGAACCGATAGATTTCCTGCTGATACATGTATACAAAAGGTACATGCATAGCACGCGTTGTTTCTCTCCTTTGGTATTTAACATCAGGGGCGGATCTAGGAATTTTGAAAGGGGCGTTATTCCATAAAAAGGATTATATATCAACAATTTTTTAACCATTATGTGCTAAAAAAAAACATATAAATCGTGAAAACATGATACGTAACAATTATTTTTTTTGGCGATCAATAGGGGAGGCCTACGCCATCTCAGCCCCATTTCCCCCTGAATCCGCCGCTGAACTTGGCATATCTGTTCATTTTGACAAGTTGGTTATCTGAGTATTACTCGAATATCTAATCATGGCTAATTAACACGAGTTATTATAGATCTAGATCTGAATTTTATTACAGTACAAGGCGCTGTTCTCGCCTCTTTTTTACAAGGGGCTTCCATCCAAGGTCCTTCACTGTCATGGAGTTGACACTACGCCTATAGTCTTTGCATATGTATATATATATGCTACATGTATATATTGAGAATCTAACATTATTAACGGTCAATTATTATATTAAATTAAACCAAATGTATGTGCACAAAATGATGTCAATTCATATATAACAACTTAAGGGTAGCTGTATATTTATGAATTATGAGTGATGATATAAGCATAGGCGGATCCAGGGGGCCCTGAGGGGCCCGGCCCCCCCCCCCCTTTCGTGGGAAAAATTTGGTTGATTATATAGGGAATCACTGAAGCATGACTGGAGCGGGCCCCCCTTAGGTCAGTCAGCGGGGCCCCCCTTATGAAAAGTTCTGGATCCGCCACTGATAAGTATGGGTCATACTTTAAATATTGTATATTATAGTATATGTCATTCTTCATTAAATATTTATATAACTAAAGGTACTGAATTTCAGTGAATTTTATATTAAAATGTGTGTTTTTGTTACAAAAAAGGCACACCTTTACCAAAAAAAAAATAGTCTAAGTTAACCCCCACCCCCTTTTCCCCCGTGCTCTTTATACGGTTAATGACTTTCTGTAGATATGGGTGCCGCACAGTGCTGATAGAGTTGTACTTTTCACTGTGGACGGAGTAGTTGTTTCAACCAGAGACATATAATAAAATATGTGTACTATAAGTCGGTCACCTCTGTCAGAGATATATGATATACATATGTGGCACCACATGTGTATATATATATATGTCTCTGCCTCCGTGATGAAGGACCTTGGATGGAAACCTCTTGTGGAGAGGAGCCTTGTACTACTGTACAAAATAATGAACGACCTGAACATCATATTATTCAATTTGATAACAGACCATCAAGAACTTCAAATAAAAAACAACTGCAAATACTGACATTTACAATTTTAAACATTATTTCTATCCCGTGACAAACTATAAACGACTGGGATTCATTGTAAAACAGTGGAAAGTTTTAAGGTAGTTATCTCGTGTGTCAAGTTGAGACGATATAGACATATCCGGAAACCCGTCGCGTTCCGATATGACTTTCTTAAACAAATATTTATCTCCCTTGGAATGAATGGTAAACAAATCAAAATTATGTTTTGAGAAATTAAGTAGCCAATTAACGTTGTCCTATTTCCGATAGCCAACTTTACTTTATATTTTTAGAGCCTTAGATAAGTGTTTCTAATTAAAATTTCATACTAAATGGGCATACTTTGATTTTTGATGCAGTCTTCGTGAAATGAAAACCTTATCCCTGACTATCTAACTGTCTAACACGGAAATCAGTTCATCATAAACATTTTCAACTGTATATATCTTGTGATGCCTCTTTTCACAAATAAATTGCTAGAACGATATCATTGGTATTTATCTGTGCTTTAGGCCTTGTGTTAAACATGTCAGGAATAACCACCAATTGGTGGATTATACCTCAATTGACGTATAATCCACCAATTGACATATAATGGTATAGACCAATTGGCGTATTCTTCTTTGTTTTTCAAAGCAAATTATTCAACCAAAATGGAGCATTGTTTTCTTAAAACCATATTATTGTATGAAAACATGTCAAACATTCCTAGTTTAGTATAGTGACATAACATATTGCATTTAATCAATAATTGTATTTGCAGTTTCTTTTAGGTTAAAATAGGTTGTAAGTTGCAAAATGATGCTCCTATCTCACACTAGCATTTTATATAAAAAAAAATGCATTATATGTCAATTGGTCTATACCAATATATGTCAATTGGTGGATTATACGTCAATTGAGGTATAATCCACCAATTGGTGGTTATTCCTGACCTGTTAAATCGTGGAGGGTCCCACTTCACTGTCTACAGATACTTGTAAGAAAATCTAACCCATACCTAACACTGGGTTGGTGTTTTCACCACCGAACACCACCGCACATCCTGCCGAACACCACCGAACACTCAAAAAAGACCACTAACCCTTAAGAAAAACAGTAATGTTACACAATCATGACAATAAAACAATAAAATCGATTAAATTACGTAAAATTAAATCCTATTCTCATGTTTTCCCATTTTTATGTGCATTAGTGGTGTTAAAGTTGAGAATCAAAATTAAAAAAAAACGCTTCCGGATCCAGCAATATTTTTTCCAGATTTACATTGTCTGTATTTCATTGTATATTATCTTCTGGTCTTTACTTTTCAATTATTAGAAATAAATTGTTCAAATCAGTTAAAACATTTTATTTAATGTGAAATTATCACAATAATTATATTTAAAAAAAATGTTAGACTTGAAAGTGTACTGTTCTGACAACAGCCCTGCAAGACTGTCCTTTTTGGTTCTCTTGTTATCATTTCTTATTAACATGATTAATTTATGTATATATATGTATAAACATATTCATCGTCGTTCAGAAGGTAAGTAAAATATATCAATAAAGATGAAAACAATATATTTAGGTGTGTTAGATGGTATTTTAATGTGTGCGGTGGTGTTCGGTGGTGAATAGACCTACCGCCTAACACTGGCTCACTGTTGAGGCACTTGTTTCTATTGCATGTCGACATTCCCATTGATAGAAACAACTCCCTGTGCACTAGCTCTAACATAATAACTGTTAAGTAATCTCTTATCCTAAAATGCAGGAAACCCAAGAGTAAAAAAAGACATATAAAATGTTCATTATTATGTTGGGTTGAACTTGACAATTACTTTTGGGATATAGATCCTTATAAATTGGTATTATCCCTGTTCATGGGTATTACATAGACCTTATTACTATCTAGTCCAATCCAGAAAAAAAAGTTACTTAGAATTTTGGAAAATGCCTGTACCAAGTCAGGAATATACATCATGTAACAGTTGGTTGATATAGTCTAAAGTTTGATTTTGTCAGGTTTTATGGACTTTCCCTTTTTGAAATTACATTGAAGTTTTGTATTCAGTCAGAGCTCAGACATAAATAAGTCTAAATCTGCTTTTGACTCATAGAGGTCTAAATTTGAAGGTTTCAAGATTTGTCTCCCTTTAATTTAAGACAAATTATTACTTCAATAAGTCAATTAGTGTTAAGCAAGAAATATTTGACCTAAATTAAAGAGTTGCAAATATTGACTCCTACAAGTCAATATTAGTTACCTAAATTGGCCAACTTCAAGACCCATGCATATTTATAAAATGGTCATGCATCTACCATGTCTACATGAAATTATGACAACATTGAAAGATAATGCTTTGTCTTCTAAGGAAAAATATGCATGAGAGTCTAAAAAATTGGAGATAATGTTTATTTACTTTACAATGCAACCATCTGTAATCACACAAAATTAGGAAAATAATCTATGTTAAGTAAAAATGTTCAATTAGATTATTAAATATAGATAGCCCAGGTCATTGTGAAGTTAAGTAAGCTTCAATTGTAGATTTACTGAACCTGTCAACATTGAAACCTTTTTTTATATACAGTTTTGAAATTTAGCACAAATGATTTTTTTTTCCTTTTTAAATAAAACCTTGATGAATATCAAGTTTTATCAATTTTCATTGATTTCTCTGTTGTCAGTGTTGATCAAAAGTTTCAATGCTCTAAAAATTCATTATTTCATTCATTTTTACATACATGTACAAGTTGTTTGAAAACTATTTGAAGCAATGATTTATGTTATCATGGTTATAGACGAGCAAAAAAATAAGAGATGAAACTAAGCAGCAAAAAGAAAAAATCATGATCATCATGTCCAATAAAAGCATAAAACATCATGACTAAATAGAAAAAAAACCAATAACAAAAACACAGAAACCTAACAATTGAGCAACATAAAACCCGCCAAAATTTGCTACACACAGTATGGTTAAATCAAAGAGCAGCAAAATTTCACAGTATTTTAATAATAGAACAGACTAGTTTAAAAATGTCCCATGCTGTGAAAACAACTCTTAAGAAGTTTTATTTTATTTCTACTTCATATGCTTTATTTTTTCAGATAGAACAGTATATGTAGCAGAGCCAACTTCAAACAAAAAGGAAATACATGTGCCATCTTTTGAGCAGAAACATTCTTGGGATTGCGGATTAGCATGTGTTTGTATGGTATTACGGTAAGAAACTTATACTTGGGATTGCAGATTTATACGTAAAACAGATATCTCCATAAAAGTATGTTATAGGCCCCAAAGTAAGCATCTTTTGAAGAAGTTGTCAAAATACAACTATTTTGTGCATTTTTCGGACCTTGGCCACAACCCAGGATCCATAATGTTCTGTAACATAAAGGTGCTAATGTTTATATTAAATTTCTGGAAACTAAAAGTAAATTTCGCTTTAATTTGTCAAAAATTATGGAAAGTTGGACCAAAACAGATGTTACAACACAAAAAGTGCATAATTAAGGGAGTCATAAGTTCATAATTTATAATGTGAAGTGTCAATAAGAACTTATTTTGCATTAATAGTAATATCTCCACTATATTTATGGCAAATTTGTAGAATTTTTGGCCCATTAAAAAAACATAAAATCTTAGGGCAAATTTTAGCCCTTTGTCATGTTTGTGAACCTACCTCTTTGCAACCTTTAAATTGTTTGTTATTATTGGGTTATCCTTATGTTTGTTGTGTGTGTGTGTTTTTTTTCTCTTGTCGATTAAAAAAAAAAAACCAATGAATACATGTCTTAAGAGGATATATAAAAAAGAATATGTGGTATGATTGCCAATGAAACAACTCTCCACGAGAGACCAAATGACACAGAAATTAACAACTATAGGTCACCGTACAGCCTTCAACAATGAGCAAAATCCATACTGCATAGTCAGCTATAAAAGGCCTTGAAATGACAAATGTAAAACAATTCAAACGAGAAAACGGCCAAATTTATGTACAAAATAATGAACGAAAAACAAATATGTAACACAGCAACAGACAACAACCACTGAATTAAAGGCTCTTGACTTGGGACAGACACATACAGAATGGTACATACAATGGGGAGTCTTGTGCACAATGGAACAGGAGATAAAGAAGTGATTTTAGGATGAGTAAAAAACAATTCGGAAGAATATGTTTCAACAACATCTAAAACAGAAAACAGCCACTGAACACCACAGGATTGACACAGTATGACCTATATCTGACTCTAGACTGGCAATTATAAAATAATTTATATGTAAGCTCCAATAGGGTATCCCTTTAGGTCACAAGGTCATGTTTAGAAATTGCCTCAGGTGACCAGGTCACTTTAGCAATTCTTTTTGTTTAACAATACACCTTTGTTTACTGTTAAAGTTCACAGTTCCTTTTAAACAAGACGTCAGGTCGCAAGGTTGCCCGTCAAGGTTAAAGGTCGAATATTGGAGCCACCAGTTTACTAAATACATTTTTTTTTTCTGTTTCACAGACATTTAGGTATAGATGACAGTAAGATTTACAAGGAAGATCACACAGAGTTAGGCTGTGGAGATAGGTAACTATAAACTTTTTGTACTTATTCAAAACATAACATCATTCAATAATGCATTTGTATTTTATTTATCTAGGATCTACCATGCTTTAAAACTTTTCCAGATTCACTGGTTTGTCTGTACTCTTTTTGTAAATTTCATGATTTAAGCATGACTATATTAACCAATACCTGCAGATGAACCTTTTTTAAAAATATCTATTACCTGTTCAGTTATCTGTGATCACTTAATTAGCAGAAGTCAGCTGCCCATAGAGGTCATTAAACTGTCCAAAGCTACATTGGGTAGTTAGGAACCAATTTCACCAGAAACATTGATAGTTATGTAATTTGAAAAAGTTAATTTTTATAAACACAAAAGGGTATATTGTTGTGCTCAAAGGGCAGAAGTGAGGGGTAATGGAGTAAATGGCAGTCCTGGCTTATCCTATTGACAGTCTTTAATTATCTATTTAGTATCTTAACTTTCATATAGATGTTCTATCTTTTTCTGAGGTAGCTGTCTTTTTGATAATTACTTTTTATATTTAGTGTGTGGACAATTGACTTGGCCTTCCTTCTACAGAAGTATGGTATTAAGAACAGATTAACAACGACCACACTTGGAGTAGATAAAGGATATGGTACATCTGTAAGTATCTATTTGCTTTCTGTTTATAAAGTACAAAACATCATTATAATACACAAAAACGTAAAAACTTAATACTCTCAATTCAGAAATGTTTGCAATGTTTGTAATATTGTGAACATTGTGATTGGATAGTTTTTTCCAAAAAAAAAACCTAACATTTTAAATTTTGATACAATTTACTTGTACCCGGTATGCAAAATTATCTGAAATCACAATTATTTATCTCACATTTTTTTTGCTTGATGGACAATTAATATAATAAATGTATGCAAAAATTTCTGAATTTACTGTATTCATATAATAATGATAAATACATGTCTCACAATTTTTGGTGAAACTACAAATGATTTTCAAGTTCTGCTATTTCAGTATCGAAAGGTATTTTAAAATCATGGTTAAGCACATTTTAGATTAATATTAGTTGTCAGAAATATTTTCATTGCATTCCTCACTTCCTCTTTGATGGCTTTAAATCTACATGTTAGTTTGCTTGTGAATTAACTCACTTCCAATCATGGTAGTATGAAGTTACTATGACAACATAAACGTATATTTGTGTGAGCACTTACAAAAATTATGAACAGATTGATTATAAACTAAAATTTTATAATATTAAAAATACAAGGTTCTTAGAGGGTCCATTCTGTATCTTAAACCACCTCAGTGGTCTTGTGGTTGCATGCTTGCCTCAAGTGCAGGATGTATTGTGTTTAATCCATTGCCAGGTCAAACCATAGACTTGGAAATTGGTATTGGCTGCTTCTCTACAAATCACTCAGCATTTAGGATCAGTAAGAGCAAAGACTGGTTGCTCAGAGTCAGAATAATATGATTGTGTGGGTAGGGTGGCATGTCTTCCTGTAGACTGTTACCTTGTGTACTAGCACATTAAAAATTCAGCTCAGCGGGTGGTTCTAGTACAAAGCAGGGGATTGTAGAAAATCTTTCTTTCATGCAGAATTGTAATAAGAATTTTTTTTTTTTATCACATATGACATATTAGTTTGATGCATGGTAGTGTAGTATTTTTGTTTTTCTGTCGTATAACTAAAATGATAATTGATCAACTACTATTTAATTAATTTATGAACATTTTTATACGACCGCAAAAACATTTTGCGGTCGTATATTGGTATGGCGTCGTCATCTTCGTCCGGCGTCGCCGGTGTCATCGTCGTCGTCGTCGTCCGAAGACACATTGGTTTTCGCACTCTAACTTTAGTTTAAGTGAATTGATCTCTATGAAATTTTGCCATAAGGTTCAATACCACAAATGGAAGGTTGGGATTGATTTTGGGGGTTATGGTACCAACAGTTAAGGAATAAGGGGCCAAAAAGGGGCCAAAAATAAGCATTTTTGTAACTTCCAGACATAACTTATGTGTTAGTGTATGGATCTCTCTGACATTGTACCACAAGGTTCCATATCACAAAGGGAATGCTGGGATTGATTTTGATGGTAATTGCTTCAAAAATTAAATTTTAGGAATTAGGGGCCAAAAAAGGGGCAAAAAACAAGCATTTTTCTAGTTTCATGACAATAACTTGTGTATAAGTGTATGGATCTTTCTGAAATTGTACTACAAGGTTCCATATCACAAAGGGAAAGCTGAAATTGAGTTTGGGGGTAATTGCCCAAAACGTTTAGGAATAAGGGGCCAAAAAGGGGCCAAAATAAGCATTTTTCTAGTTTCCAGACAATAACTTGTGTTCAAGTGTAAGGATCTCTCTGAAATTGTACTGCAAGGTACCATACCACAAAGGGAAGGCTGTGATTGGTTTTGGGGGGAATTGCCTCAAAATTTTAGAAATTAGGGGCCAAAAAGGGTTAAAAAACAAGCATTTTTTTTAGTTTCAGGACAGTAACTTGTGTGTAAGTGTATGGATCTTTATGAAATTGTACTACAAGGTTCCATATCACAAAGGGAAAGCTGGGTTTGAGTTTGAGGGTAATTGCCCTAAACGTTTAGGAATTTGGGGCAAAAAAGGGGCAAAAAAACAAGCATGTATCTAGTTTCCAGACAATAACTTGTGTTCAAGTGTAAGGATCTCTCTGAAATTGTACTGCAAGGTACCATACCACAAAGGGAAGGCTGGGATTGAGTTTTGGGGTAATGAATCATAAGGGGGTCCAAAAAATTTTGGGGGAGGGATTTTTTTTTCCTTTTTTCCTTTTTTTTTCTTTAAAATTTTCCATTTTAAATTGGTTATTTCTGATTTATATTTAAAAGCAAATAATAAGTTCTTAGACCACATTCATTCTGTGTCAGAAACCTATGCTGTGTCAAATATTTAATCACAATCCAAAGTCAGTGTGTATCAAGCTTGAATGTTGTGTCCATACTTGCCCCAACTGTTCAGGGTTCGACCTCTACGGTCGTATCAAGCTGCGCCCAGCGGAGCATTTTATTCTTTTTCAATAGGCATTTTACAAGGCAAGTTTTACAAAAGATGAGAACAGAGTGAACACATTGTTTCAGGAAGCAGAATCAAAAGGAATAGTTGTTGAGAAAGGGTTGGTAATTTAAAACCATGGTACAAAATATTTCTGATAATGTTTTTGATAAATTTACTGTAATAATAATTTAAAGAGTATAATACAATTCAATTTTTTTTTCTTGTGTTTTTCTCTTGCTCAGCTCTACAGAAATTTACAACTCAAGGTTTTTGAAAATAGTAATTTTGGGGCATACACAAATCATTATAGGACACTCTAATAGGTATACTGAAAATACTAGCAAAAACATATTAAAAATTTATGAAGCATAATTTTGACAAAAAAGACAAATCCTGTTGATGATGTAAGAGTTGATACAAATTATTTCAACTACATCCTGTTTGTTTTAAATTATCAATTAGAAAATGAATTAAAAAATATTTACAATGAAAGTTTCGAGAATTTTTGTGTAGATATTGTGAATTTATATTACATTGATTGCCGTGATTTTCCAGTGAAATAAAAACAGATAACTTCACACGTGAAATTAATCCAATTATTTCACTCCTCTGACGTCAAACGTGTGTTGTCATGACGTTGTCAATGACCTTCCACCAAAACAAGTTGAAAACACGTGGAAAAAGATATAGTTTCTTGCGTTTTCTACTTTATTTCCAAAAAATGTCAATGTAATAAAAAGAATAACTTCAAATTCAAATAGAGAAAAATATTCAACTTGTGACCAAACAACAATGATACATGCATTTGTGAATTAATGTGTTGTTCGGTCACTCGTTGAATATTTTACTAAATTTGAATTTTTGGATTAGTTATTCAATCTGTAATTATCAGTCACTCAACACTACATAAAAGAATTTTGTTCATTTACTACTTTATTTCAACATAAACTCTATACTCTAATTCCAACAGGTGTGAGTGATTGTCACAATTTAATATCAACAACAATAAAAGGTAACTTGCCTGTACATGAAAAAAGAAAAATAACACACAGAAGTTACAGAAATTTTGATATTTAATATTTTAACAGTGACTTACAAAAAGTTAAAATATCTAAAACATTTGACAAAAAAACTGAACATGAAATAAATGAAATTTATATGAATTTTGAAAAGAATTTCATAAATATACTAGATAAAAATGTGCAACTTTAAAAACAAGATACCCTAGAAAAAATCCGCTCCCATGCATTAATAATGATTTGAGAAAAGCTATTCACCGTAAACATATGTTATATTCAAGTTACACAAAACATAGAAATAGAATAACTTGGGAAAAATTTAGAAAACAAAGAAATCTGGTCAAAAATTTAAAAAGGAGATCAATGAAAAATTATTTCTTAAATAGATGTTCCGGTGGTGCAAAATCATGTGATTTTTAGAAACTATAAAACCTTTTTTCTCTAAAAAATGTCACTCAGGCCAACAAAATATAGTTGAGTGAAAACAACAAAATTGTGACTGATACAAAACAAGTTACAGAACACATTAATACCTTTATCAACTGTAGCTGAGGAAATCGGAAAAGATGTCATATATGATCAAACTTCACATCCCAGCATCTTAGAGATACAAAATCATAGAGACCCTGAGATAAATTTTGAATTTAAAAGAACTACCACCGAGAAGGTAGAAAAGATTATAAATTAAATAGATATTGAAAAGGCTACTGGCTGTGATGGAATTCCAGCTAAAATTGTGAAACATAGTTAATCTGTATGCGCCACAGCTGACAGATCTTATAAATTAATCTGTTGACTCTGGTGTATTTCCAGATAGACTAAAGGAGGCACAAGTAACTCCACTTCATAAAAAAAATGATCCTTTATTAAAAACTAATTATAGACCAGTAAGTGTTCTACCAATTTTTTCCAAGTTATATGAAAAAGTTTTAGAAACTCAACTCAACTGGACCAAAATTTTAATCCATATTTGTGTGCATTTAGACGAGGTCATGGATGTCAGACCACACTACTTAGACTTATTGAGGATTGGAGAGAGGCCCTTGATAAAAATCATTACAAAGCCGCAGTTTTAAGAGACCTCTCTAAAGCTTTTGATTGCTTACCTCATGAAATTTTACTTGACAAATTGTCCTTTTATGGTGTATCTTCTCATTCAGTATTCCTTTTTAATTCATATTTATCCAATAGAAAACAACAAATAAAAGTTGGCAACATACTAAGTGGTTGGTTTGACCTTAAAAAAGGTGTGCCACAGGGTTCTATTCTTGGACCTCTTTTTTTTAAACGTTTTTATAAACGATATTTTTTATTTTTTTAAGCAGAGCTCATTGTATAACTACGCAGATGACTACACATTATCGTTCTGTAGTCTTGATTTTGACAAGCTAATATCTACATTAGAAGATGAAACCAAACAATTGATTGATTGGTTTAAATTTAATAAAATGCAAGCTAATCCTGACAAATTCCAGGTGTTAGCAGTTAGCAAAAAGACTTTTGAGAAGAGCCCATCAATACATACATGTATTCAAAATTCTAATTTATCTTGCGAAACTGTGGTTAACATGGTTAAATTGTTAGGCATAGAGATTGACTACTAGTTAAATTTTGATTTACATATTAGTAATTTGTGTAGAAAGGCATCTCAGCGGCTTATATATTTTGAAACGTTTGGGACCTTTTCTTTCCAAATTAAATAAACTCACTATATTTCATACTTTTATTATGAGTAATTATAACTTTTGCCCTTTGACTTGGCATTTATGCACTGAAAAAAATACCACAAAATTAGAAAAAATGCAAGAAAGAGCAGCTACGATTTGTGTATGATGACTACAACTCCACATATGTACAACTTGTGGATAAGGCAAAGGTGTCAACTCTCCTGGTGCGCAGAATCAGGAGTATGGTTCTAGAATTTTGAAGATTTTGAATAATATTGTTTGCAGTTTTCTAAAAATTAAATCTACAAAATACTCTTTTAGTTATAATAATATATAAGATGTTCCCCGGGTAAAAACATCTACTTATGGTAAAAAATCGTATAAATATGCTGCAGCTACACTCTGGAACAGACCATTTCAGGACGGAAAACAGTTTTTCTCAATTTAAGAACATGATTCAGTCTTGGACAGGGATGGGGTAATCGTAATTTGTAATCGTAATCGATTGTAATTGATTACATTTTTTCCAGTAATCGACAGTAATCTGTAATCGAAGACATCTTCGATTACATGTAATCGTAATTTAATCGATTACAGCAAAAAATATGATGTAATCATAGTTTACTTTTCGATTACATTTCGATTACTTTAGTAAAACAGTTTGATGAAATATAACCTATATTAAATGAAAATATGTATGTTTTCATCACTTTATAGTACAGATAAAATAGAATGTATTAAAATAACTGAAGAGTTTATCAACTGCCTTATTTCTATTTTGTCTCAAGCTGCAATATGATCAACCAGATCCCCTACCAAATTTTACTTTATATCTAGCTTTTGAAACAAATGAATTTATGTGCTTGTCAATAATTCAAGACCTTTTATATTAAAATAAGAAAATAGATTTGAAATAAGAAAATAGATTTAAAATAAGAAATGAGTCTTAAGTTAAGTTCTGTACTACATTAAAGTAGTAAGCTTATATTTTTTTTAATTCCTTAAAGCATAATTTTCAATAAGAATTGAAATTTTAGCTTAGAATAGATACACAGTTGATTCCTTATAATGTTATGATATAAAAATTTAGAAAGTACACAAAATCCTTACAACAATGAACCAATGGCTATGCATTGAAATTCTTTTTCAGAAATAGATACATGTATCCCATTTTGACACTATAAATATATATTGTTTATAAATTGAATAGAGAATAAAAAAAACTAAACAAACTTCTTGTCTTTACTAATCAGATGATCAAAGACTTCTAATCAATAAGATGCAGACTTTGTTTTCTTTTCAATTATTTCTAATTAAGAAGGAGATTTACATTATTTTGCCCCAGGTTATAAAGTGTACTCCATTGGCAGTTTTATAACCTGTAATTAGGGTGATTATCCAAACAAAAGGATTAATTCATGCATGTCATTATAATTATAAATTTCGATCTGTAAAATTAGCTGAACTAATTAATTATTCTACCTTTTTTACATTTTTTTTTCAGAGGAAAATTCCAACATTGTAATTAACTATGTTAAAATATACCTGTTTTTAATTAGTAAAAAACAAAAAGCTAACTTAAGTCAGTATGAAAGAAAAATTTATGAAAAAATCTACAATATAGATAAGTGTTTGATGCAATGCGATGTCATCTCTCATTCATGTTGAAAGCCAAAATTTCAAGAATTTTTGAATATTTCTGATCCTCAGTAAGAGAATCCATCTAGAAAACAACTGTCAACTTAAAATTTGGAAACAATGCTTTAAATGCTGTTTTTGGTAAAGTTCAAAATTTCCACTATACAAACGTTTAGCAACAATATTGTGTTTAACTTACTTTATTATTTTTTTGTAATTTTGTAGCATGTAATTGACAGTAATCGAAAAGTAATGTAATTACTTTTGATAAAGTAATCGATTGCAATTGATTATTAATCGATTACACAAAAATCCTTCATGTAATCGATTATTAATCGATTACATTTGTCAGTAATCGTGCCCATCCCTGGTCTTGGAATGGTTCGAAATGTCAATGTTCTGCATGCATTTGATGTATAAGTCTTCGCCATTATACTGTCAGCTCTGCAACTCATTTTTAATTAGATTTAATTAGTTTATTATTATACTGCTTTCCATATTTATCTATTAACTCAAATTTTTAGCATAAATGAATTGCTTTTTTTATCTAGCGCTTATTTTGAAATATTTTTTTTACCTCTGCTGACTTGCTGTCAGATGATCCATAGAGGCGCTTGCCACATGAGCTGTTGATGGATTTTTGTCAAACAGTACTAGTTCTATTTTAAATTTATAAATTTTAATATAAGATTGCTAGAAATTTTGATTGTTGCTTAGTTTTATTCTGTTGTATGTTTTACTGTAAACCAACTTATTTTCCCGGATACTTTATTTCGCTTTTTACCCTTTCTAGTCCACTTCGCGGCTATTTAATTTCGCGATTTTCTAATTTACTTGATGTAGTTTAATAAGGAAAGATCTAAATTATACATATTCGCAATGATTTATAATCGCGTTATTTTTCTACTCGTGAAAGTCGTGAAAATAAAATGTTCGCGAAAATAAGTTGGTTTGCAGTATATGTGCATGATGCTTTGTTTTATTTGTTTTTGTATAGGTTTTAATTTTCGCTAAAAAGCTCACCAGAGCTTATGTTTGTATGTTTTATGCTATGCCGAATCAAAATAATTTTTTCTATTCTATCTATTCTATTCTAAAACTAGAAAGGACAATTAATAATATGGTCTTTTAAGCTGTTTTCTAAAGATGCAAATGTACACATTATATATACTGTGGATTCATTTATTTTCATGGGTACCAAGAAAAATTGTATTTTTGTGAATATTTGATTTCATGGTGTTGCAAAATCCGCATACAAGCCTATAGAAATTCTGTACTTTGTTAAAGTTCATGGTTAACCTACCCCCATGAAATCAACAAAATGGGTAGCCAATGAATAATAATCAATCCATAGACCACAGTAGTCATGAATAGTTAGAAAAGTTTAAGAAGTGTAATATAAGTTATCTGTATGTTGTTTATTTTTCCAGAAGTGTATCAGTGGATGAGATTTTGAATCATTTGGAAGTAGATAACTTAGTCATTGCATTGGTTGACTGGTCATACCTGGAGTGTATATGGTGTGACAAACTAGTAAGTATGAAGATGTGCTCTGCCTGACTGGTTTTATTTAGAGTATGTACAGTGTGATCACAAAAAAAATACAATTTGGATATACATGCATTTGGTCCTGTAAAGTTTAAAAAAAAGGAAAATAGGCTACTGTTACATTCAGAATGTCATGAATGTGAAGCCAGGTATTTATACTTACATGAAAATGTTTTGTGTATCAGCCCTCAATTTAGACTACTAAAACAGTTGCCTAGGCGACCTAGAAAACCCACAGGCAACTGTTAGTGGCCATTTGGCGAATATAACCTCTTCCAGGTTTTTTTGGGGGACCTACCCTGTTAGGGATTTTAAAATACATTTCTACTGCAGGATTAGAAATGAGCTTGCAAATGAGGTGATTTTTATAAGTGTCAAGCATTTCATCGACCATGAGTAAAGACAGCCATTTATACAACAACAAAACGAAACAAATGTTGAAATGATACAGTCAAAATTTTTGCAGCAGAACAGAGGCAAATATCTTGGTTATCGTTATCTATACCGCTGTTGATGAGACAAAAAGGATTAATTATGAAAAACACCTCAAACATGAGAAAGGGGTCTAGGTAAAGTTTTACCGATGCCATTCTGTGGTGTTAATAAAGGATTCTGGTACACAAAAAACAAAATGCAAGCTGGCCAAAAAGAAAAATTAAAAAAATCACTAGCCTACCTACCTTCCCTTTTATTTTAGGGTACATGTATGCAACAGGAAACACACTTACTGTTCATGCTGTTTTTTTTTTTACCTCGGTACACAATAACCATCTGCATCAGAAATAAGCTGTTCAAACTTTTTATTACAACCACCATTCATGGTCATGTAAGCTACTAACTTCTATTTCCTATAGAAAAATTTTAAGTAATATGCTCTCTTAGAGACTTATGACTAGCCTTTATGTTATGCTCTTTCATAGCAAATTTTTAGGTGTCCTGAAATGACTGCCTTGGCCACCTAAATTTTGATTTGGCCACTGAAATTTTATATTTGGTGGCCAAATGGCAACCAGATTTTTTTAACCTATTTTGAGGACTGTGTATTGCGTGTTCTTATACTTCTGTTCATTGACATCATAAGTTGGTTTACATATTGTCAAATCAACAGAAGTCGTGAAATTAAATAAGTTGCAGTAATAAATGAGTAGGTTCGATAAGGCCATAAAATGACCCCTATTTCTAGCTTATATTTCAAATTAGTATTTGTTGACCAATATCACAATTAATCATAGCTAAAACAACTAATAGCTAGGAAATTTGTCTTTTTGTTGAAAATTTATGTATTAATGTTCTTTTTGTGACATCACAAAAAGCACACAAATTGATTTTCCAAGAAAATTCAATAAAACCAGGTGAATTTCCATAGATTTTTAGGATTGGAAACATAGAGCGCCTGTATCAACAAAAAGGATCTTTAACATTATGTTTATCTTATATGATTATATTATTATATCATATTCGAGTATTGAGTTTGTCGAAGCCTGCACATTATGATTCCTAGGCCTAAATTTGGTTGAAATCCAAATCTCAATTTGGGGTGTAAATTTCAACGCTTTATATGAATACCTTGGCAAAAGTTATTCTATTTCACTTTCTTACATGTCTTTTCATCAACCTGAAACATTTTTTATCTTGAAAAAATTGACTTGATATTAAGGGCCAAATATTGCCCTTACAGAACTTACTCCTTTTGCTATATTAGTAAAGTGTTCAGCTTTTATCCAAACGTAAAATATTTCCAAGATTTCCTGAAGTAGTTATGTGTTCAGCTTTGGGCCAAACTAAAATTTTAACTCATGATAGCCTGTGAAAGGAAAACGATTTTTTTGTGAAATGATTTGGGCAATGCATGCATAATATTATTTCACTGTAAAATCAGCACATTTAGGTCAAATTGTGGTATTATCTATATTATTGTAACAATCAATCTGTTTTGCATAATTGGAATATAAAAGCTCAGTACAGATAATAGTAAATATTTTAAAAAGTAATTTTGCTCCTCAAATGAAATGATAAAGTTGTCAAAAAGGGCAATTTTAACTAAAAATGTACATTCTGCCCAGTCAAACACGAGAAGTAAGTGCAATCATTATCTTTTTTTTTACAGGGAATCAGTTGTTTGACATGTTTAAAACGCTGTACAAAATGCTGCGATAGATACCAAGGTAAACATAAATTTGGAAGTTAAAATGGACCTGACAAAATACCATGTCTTAAAATGGAAGATTTTGATTTGAATTCCTTTGCAATTTTTATTTTCCTCGTTTGTTTTTTTTGGGATTATTTGGTTCACTTGTCATACATGTCATCATTGATCAAAATAAGATTATAATGCTCAAGTTGTCATATGCAAAGTTGTGATCATCTCAGATAACATAACATTACAAAAACAGATTACATTAAAAGAACCCTAAAGTGTGTCTCTTATTTCATCTATTGATTTATTTTTTTATCATAGGATGAACAGATTTTTCCATTTCATTCAGCTTATTTTTGTTTCATTATCGATAGTCTAAAAAATGTGCTCAGACTTTTTTAAGATATAAAGAATTGGCTTGAGAGAATATTTTTTGTATGCTCTGTTTATTTAATGTTACATATGGTCTACGTTAATGGAAGCTTGATCAGTTTAATTTTATTGGCGAAATGGAAGTGAGATGCCATTTTTGTCATAATCAATATGATAGAACCATTGAAAGTTTTGTGTATTCCTGTTGACTTTAAGGTAAACATACAATATTTTAGATAACAAATTAACCTTGTAACCTATTCTTCAAATTATTTTTTTGCAGATTATGCAGGAAAACTGCATTTTGAATAGACTTATAGTGTGTCACTTAGCATGATTAGAGGATTTTTGGTTCTGATGTCAACATGCAACGTATACATTCAAAACAGAAAAATTATTAGAACTTTTGCTGTTAACTCTACATCGGAAATCATAACTGCTAAATATAATTCATTATTTTGTGATAAGGGCAGGGATGGCATTGATGATTTGAATACATGTATCTTTATTATTGTTAACATGCTCACTTTTAATATCCATTTCTTTTATAGGTCATTACATTGTTTTGTGTGGTTTTGACAGGAAGAAACATAGAATATTTTACAAGAACCCTTCTTATAATAAAGGTATATTTTATACCTACAGCAAACAAAACTTGGTTTTAAACACTAATGCTGGAGAAAAAAAATATATAAGAAACATTATGTTTCAGGTTTCACAAAGTCAAAAACATGATAATTATTTTTAATGAAATTTTTTTTATGACCCCACCGTAGTAGAGGGGGCATTAAGTTTTACCCTTGTCCGTCTGTATGTTGGCCCATCCATCTGTCTGTCCATCTGTCCGTCTGTACGTCCCAAAAAACCAAAATGGTAAGCAATGCTTATTACCACAAAACACAGATCAAGTTTGAATTTGGGTGGCATCACTTTTACCTTTCTAGGGTTATGTTCCTTTACAAATCCCAAAATTTATTCTCTAACTTAAGTTTGCTTCAACCAAATGTTATGAATCTTATACACACTGCTTATTACCACAAAACTCAGATCAATTACGAATTTGGGTAGTGTCACTTTTACTGTTATTTCCATATATAAAGTTATATGCAAGCGGGGGCATCATCTGTTTCCCATGGACACATTCTTATTATTAAGTTGTATGTTTAAAAATACTAAAAGTGCCATTTTCATATCAATTCTCAACCTCAAATTAAATGAGGACGAAGCTGCCTTACTAATTCATATTGTGTATTAAATCAATTTTCAACATTTCATTTTAACTAAATAAGAAATATAAAAAAGAAGATGTGGTATGATTGCCAATGAGACAACTCTCCACAAGAGACCAAATGACATAGAAATTAACAACTATAGGTCACTGTACGGCCTTCAACAATGAGCAAAGCCCATACTGCACAGTCAGCAGTATGGGCTTTCTTTTCAAAAAAGTTTGGTTTAGGGCCAATTTGGGCATAAAATCAAATATATCTCAAATTTGTTATAATAAAAGATGATGTGGTATGATTGCCAATGAAGAACCTATCCATTAAAAACATAGGACAAAGATATCTTATGTACTGGTAATAACATTCCTTTTTATTACAATTTTATTCGGTTTTGGACTTATTGGGCTTAACCAAATCATTAGTTGAAAGATCGGACAGAAAATTGCCTGCATATTATATTTGTAAATGTTTTATGTCAGTTGTATTTATGAGGTCTGTATCCTATACTTGTATGAAACTGTCATATTGGAAAAGGATATTTTTCATTTGTACTGATGTGTAATAGTTTTAAAATTAGCTAGTAAATAAATATTGTTATCTTTCAGATATGTGTTGTAGCAGAATTTCTGAGTTTAACCTGGCTAGAAAAAGTTACGGAACAGACGAGGACACTTTGTTTATATATAATGATACATGAAATATATTTATATTTTAAATTTGAGAGTGTTTTTTTTTGCTTTTAGCCACAATCATTTGGTTTATAAACTGTATTGCATGAAATTAGTATCAAATTATTGTGTTTAATTGTTATATACCTGCAAGTTTTTTATATCATTGTTTAAATTTTTTTATACTATAAGCAGAAAGGTTAACTCCACAGATATTGTATACTAGGGTAGAACACAGAGAAGAACTCCAAAAACTAAACCACTGAAACCTATTCTAGAACCATTAAAGTGGGTGTCTTATACTTTAGGCAGTTCCTGAATATTCATTTGAGCATAAGAGCATTTATAAGGGTTTGGAATTTCTCTGAAACTACTATAATAATTCAACAATTATCTTGAAAACCATTAGAAATGCTCTAAACTTATTATGATATGTGATTTAGTTGCTGCTCTGAATAAGCTCTTAAGACTGACATGTCACCCTTTGAGTTGAACACTGGCAAATAACATGTCTAAGCAAAAAAAGTTCAAATGATGATGAAGTCAACCTAAGCTTTCTTGTGGCTTGTAACTTTTTAAGCTAGAATGAAAGTATGACTCTAGTACAAAGCTATATAGAATAGGACAATGGTGTTGATTAGTTTACAAATTACACCATTCCAGGCCCTTTTGTTTTCCACATAATTAATATTACCAATAATTAACAGGTTACGGGTCTAATCCAAAGCGATACCAATAGCATATGTTACCTGTAGCCTAAACTGTACGCTCCACCTCTGTCAGGTGCATCACCAAGCAGTGTAAATGGGATTTACTATATAAACGGGTCTTAATCACACCTGAACTTGGTCATTATACAGGGATTGACACTACTTAATTCAATAATTCCATTTGTCACATGCAGTATCCGGTTGTAGTAAGAAAACCAGGACGGATTCAAACATAGATTTTGAAAGAAGAATAAAATTTGCTCCTTATAATCAGCATGACTTTTATGATGATCATATGACAATACGAATACTAAAAATCCAGCCTTAAAATTAAAAAAAAGTACTTTCCAACTTGTTAGCTGGCATTATGTAAACACAACGAATTCAAGAATTCAACTTTATATAAAACTAGTATAGGTCCGTGAATGATGATGATAAAAAATTACACCATTCCAAACCCCTTTAAATGTTGTCCACAAAATTAATATTACAAATGCTTAACAAGTTTCGCGTCTACGGGTTCAAACAGAAAGATTTGAAAAGCAGTAAAAAACTGTGCACCTTATAATCAGCATGACTTTATCAGATGACAATACGAATACTAAAAATCCAGGCTTAAAATAAGCTGTAGGTACTTTAATTAAGTCACTGACCCGCGATGTACAAAGGCAAATCTTCAAGAAAGGAGTACAAGCATCGATTGACATCAATGTTCCATCAACAATTATAAAAAAAAAACCACACCCAGTTCCATGATTAAACAGAAAACTACGCAAAATGCTCAAATGGAAAGCAAAATTTCATAAAGATGCAAAACAAACTTGAAGCTACAAAGAATATAAACAATAACGGAATTATATTAATGACATCATCAATGCAGGATTCGTAAGAATAGTTCTAAACCATTTTAGAACTGTTGGAAAGCAAAGAAACAAGACATCGTTGGGGCAGCAAAGCTCAAGTTAAATGGATTTTAAGCAAAGGTATTGAGACAAACATGAAGTGAATATTTTCCTATCTCTTTACATTAGGGACGGAAAGACCTTCCTTTAACTTCTCTCTGAAAGATTGGTTTTTAATTATAATTATAATTATAAAAAATAACCAAGGATTGTGGAGCAACAAAACCATCGTCTGTTAAACTATTAATCAATCTTGCGTAACAATAAAGCAAAACAACAAGAGAAACACATAATATTGTTACGTCCGTAATTAATTGGGTTTCTAACCGGACCCTGCATTCTGGCAATTATAGTCTAAAACATGGAACACAAATTCCACAAATAAGTCAAAACGGAGGAAATTGTTTAAATCTCAATTGACTCCTTATAAGAGTTGTCACTTAATCTCAGTTTTAGTCCATCTTCGTTTTAATTTTCTTAAACGTTTGACAACTATAATGAATAAACAAAATCCTCCTATAAAATGATCAATACAACAAGATGAAGGCCGGCCCAATTTCAATTCAATTTAATCATTCGTGTAGCAATTTTACTAAGAATGCTAGGAGATCGATACAGGCTTTTAATTTCTCTAGTAAAAGCGTGTTTTAGTTTTATAACATTAATCTAGTTTAACCCAATCACATGTTACTCATTCCTATCAGTCTATTTTGACTGGTGGGTAGTCACCTTGCTCCGACATTTGATATTTTTGTATACAGGTAAACAATTTCTTGTCGGATAAACATGATTCATTTTTTGCAAAAAGCATTAATGGCATTGACCTGTAAATAGTGTTGCAGTGAATCAAGCTAAACTTTGCTTTGAAAAAAAATAAAATCACAGAAAAACTGAACTCCGAGGAAAATCCAAACCGGTAAGTTCCTAATAAAATGCCAAAATCAAAAACTCAAACACATCAAACGAATGGATTATGAAAGATCTGTTGGTTAAGTTCTAAATTATCAACAATATTATCACTGATGAACAATTACACTAACACATCCTGAAACTATACACAGGGGAATGCTTTGTATTGTGGAAACATTAATTGTATTTTACAAAAAGAAAAATATAATTTCAAATTAAGCACAAAAAGTGTAAGTTAATGAACAAGAGTGCACTCACTGAAATGTTTTTCCTGTCTTACCTATGATTGAATTTATGTTGCAAGTCAGTAATATCGGGAGGTGTTACTACACATGCATATCACATACACCGGACATCATCAATGATTCATGCAAATGAGGTCAGGACCAGATGAAACCTTTCTACTTTACAATCATACCATAAACAAAATATAGTAACTCTATATATGGCTTCGATATAGTATCTTAGAATAATATATGGAAAGTGTTGGATAAAGCTTTAAAAACACCAGATAGTTGTCTCAAAGTTAGTATAGACTCAGTCTTAGTTGAGGTTGTTGACAGGAACTTTTATTGGATAGTAGACTAAAAGGAGTTAGAATATAATTTTATCGACCAATGCGTGTATTGTATCTGAGTGTATATCTTTAATTTAAGGCAGTATCTACAATGTTCCCTATACTTTCAACACTTTTGTCGTTTACCTTGTTGTTGATTGTTAAGCAGTTCTTCATTTTGTTAAACTCAAATAGATCTGCTTCTTTGAAATCTTAAACAAAAGGAAGCCTGGATTACCCTGCTTATGTCAATTTATTAATTAAGAAGACGGAGCCCTTCTTAAGGTGCTGTTAACGATACTTTAAATTTTGTTTATACATGTAACTCCATAATTGTTAAACAATTTTTTTGCCTTATTTAGGGGAATTATGTTCTTCGGTCTGTGCGTCCGTTCGTTCGTCCGTCTGTCCCGCTTTGGGTTATTTGTTTTGGTCAAGGTAGTTTTAGATGAAGTTGAAGTCGAATCAACTTGCAACTTAGTACACATGTTCCCTGTGATATGGTTTTTCTAATTTTACTGCCAAATTAGAGTTTTGACTCCTAATTTTACGGTCCACTGAACATAGAAAATGATAGTGCGGGTGGGGCTTCCGTGTACTATGGACACATTCTTGTTTTTCAAGCTGTCGTATATATTTTTGTGTTAAATTATAAAGCTAATGCTAAGAATGAATACTGCCCTTTCCGGGATCTTGATATGTTAATCTTTAACGAGAAGCTGTTCGTCTGGCGTATTAAATTTTAAGCCTGGTACCTTTGATAACTATTTACGCCACTGGGTCGATGCCACTGCTGCTGGACGTTTCGTCACCGAGAGTATCACAGTAGTCAGCACTTCGGTGTTGACATGAATATCAATTATATGGTCATTTTTATAAATTTACTGTTTGCAAAAGTATGAATTATTCGCAATACTGAGGTTTTTCTTATCCCAGGCATAGATAACCTTAGCCGTATTTGGCACAACTTTTTGGAATTTTGGGTCATCAATGCTCTTCAAATTTGTACTTGTTTCGCTTTTTTACTATTTTGATCTGAGCGTCACTGATGAGTCTTATGTACTAGACGAAACGCGCGTCTGGCGTATTTAATTATAAGCCTGGTACCTTTGATAACTATTAATACCAATATTTACAATACAAGAGATGATTCTTTATTACCTATTGTTATTTCTCCATTTTTATATCATCTTATGGTGTTTATATGTTTGAACTTGTTCGATTCGCTCGTGTATGTAACATTTTTGATTTCAACGAAAGAAAAATTATTACACCAGGGTTTCCGACTTTACAAACTTGTCAAAACATTTACTAATTTTTATCATCAGTATAGGGACATCATTCGTTAATATAAATCAATGTGCACACATTTTTGTTTAGGGGCAAGCTGGAACCCGCCTCCGGGTGCGGGATTTTCTCGCTGTGCTGAAGATCCATTGGTGGCTTTTGGATGTTTTCTGCTCTTTTGTCGAGTTGTTGTCTCTTTGACACCATTCCCTATTTCAATTCTCAATTTTGTTTTATGTATGCTAAAGAAAATCATGAGTGTTTTGAGATGAAAACAAGTACTAAGTAAATAAAAAACAACACATATAGCTTCATTACACAAAATTAGAAAAGTTCATGTTGAAATACTTGCATCTACTTCTCCCTTTAACACCACAAATACTAAAAATGATACACGACAACGTTAACCATTCCGCGTTACACTGATTCAGGCTCAGAAATGTAATACAGATAAATAAGCACAATTCCATAAACAAGTAGTGTTTTGATGGGATTGGCCATATATATATATTTATTGTTGTTGGTGCTGTATTTAGACCCCTCTAACAAGAAATTTTTTTGCATGCACACGTATAAAAATTGAGTTGGATAAAAACCGCAATTTTTATACGTGTGCATGCAAACAAATTTCTTGTTAGAGGGGTCTAAATACAGCACAAACAACAGTTTCGAAAAGACCTAAAA